CATTAATACCCTGCGGCATCACTATGTAATATGACCACTCCTCCCGCCGCATACCGAAATTGCATTGTATGATGATCCTCGTCATGGACACTACCCCGAATCGCGATGTAGATGACCATTGAGTCTCGGACCCTATTATAATATATTTTCATACAACAATAATACCATTATATCGCTCCCCATTGTCATCAGAGACAATGTCTCGCTCTAAGTGGGGAGGGTGTAAGGTGGGCGCCACCGAGTGGCGCCGAGTTTGGACGTGTTTGGTTACTGAGTGATAGATGGACGGATTGGGCAGGCGGATCGTTAGACAACAACTACCTCTGAATCTGCTTAGCTCAATTACCTATCTTGTATCTCTCGCAATAAGACGAGGTTCCGTTTATTGGTGTGTGTGTGATACAAGCTAACTGTACTGACTACGGAGATTCTACACGATGTAGGCATGAGTGCGTCGACAGGACCGGGAGTGTGGACATAAGCACCTGATATTCGTTCTGCATGGATTGCATGGCCTATACTTCCTCGCTTTGCGGCTCAGTGTTTCTCCTTCCCTACCAAGCAACAGAGACGCATCTGCTTCTCAGATATCCCGCAACTGGCCCTTTGTAGTACTCGCATGCATGTGCCTGACCCCATCCAGCACCTCTTCTGGATTCCTCTAATTCCCTTCACCTTCCTGAGTCTGAAGGGTAGCTCTCGCCTGTCGGAAGATGGACCTGGTATGGGCGAGCGGTTCCTACGGGCTGATCTCTCTCGATACACGGACAAATAAACCCCCTCGCTGCGCTTGCTGACTTCCTGTAGCTTCTGCAAAAGCCCTCGTCTTCTCCGTCTTTCTACCACTGCGTCTCAAGATAGTCGAGCATCACTCCGGCGATCACGATGTTTTAAAAAAGATCTGCCGGGTCTGCACCCATTTCTATAGTGAAGAGGACGCTCTTAGGGCCGGGTCTCGCTCGACGGACTCGGAGATCTGGACGATAAGAGGCAACCTCGGCCTCGGTCACTTCCCTGTCTGCCTCCCATGTTTCTCCTAAATAACATCAGCCCCAAGGACTCCCGCTCTGATGATGATGAACAAAAGATGTTCGGACAGGGCAGTACGGGATTTTGTCTTTGCCTGTTGATTGCGTCCCCGGGCGCGTGCAGTCTGTGGCCCTCCCTCTGTCTACCGTTCGGTTTTCAGTCGTTTTCTATGTGGCGGCCTCCTACGCATCACTGTCCGGGCGTGTTCATCCCGCGCGTGTCGGCGCCGCTGGAGATATTCTTGAGCTAAGCGGCGGAGAGGCGGTTCGGGAGCTGGTGAGGGGGATCGTGAAGGAGGTGTTCGGGAAGGGCAGAATGGATGCAGTTATTCTTTTGAGTCGTGGGGGACTATTTGAGTCTGGCGTCAGTTCAGGTGGGTGCTGCGAACCGATGCTTGTGCCATCTGCTAAGTGTGGACTGGCGCCAGGGTCAGCCGAAGCGTGACCCACAAGTTAGTGAGCGGATGAGGCTTCTGAGTAAAATCACGGTGTGAGGGCCTGTGTTTTCGCATACTTTGGTCAGTACACTGATGTCGGCATCGGGTTGCCACTTGCGAATGACCGCCGCCACAGAGTTTTGACGCGTATTCTAGCAGCGTGCTACCTGACGTTCCTCTTGTCCTTCGTGGGTCGCGCGGCCCCTCCTTCTCCTGATCATATTGGCTGATGGGGTTCGGATCGACTACATGTGTCTGCCTCGTGGAGCCAGCATACCGCGACCTTTGCGGATTCGCTGTATCGTCTGGTCTTCGAAGCCATGACGACTGGTGAAGCGTGCCAGCTGCCTGTGAGGCCTGCCAAGTCCCCGTGAAGGATGTAGGCCCCGACTTTGACATTGTCGAGATTACCACACAGGTGTCTGTGCCGAGGATGTATTAAAGGGGGGGGGCGAGCTGTGAGCAACGTTGCGGTCTGCGACTCGGAGCCCAGATTTGTCTGACTAAATGATCGTCTAGGTACTTTGTGCAGACATGGCACCGGATGCCGGACTCGCGAGGGAAGCTGAGCGGCCACTGGGAGGCGCGCTCGGTTTTTCCGCGGTGACTTGAAGCGGGACATTTGCATTCGTCACGTTCGAATAGTTGGGACGAGACCGTGCTTCTTCTCAGCTTGGTGTTAGGGGCAGCCTGAGGTAGACGTGCATCGTGGTACTCCTTCGAGCAATGCTTGAGTCAGTATCCACTGTCCAAGGACGTCACGTATCCGGTGGGTCACCTCTCATATCTGCTCCCGAACATCTCTTCCGAAAGCGCTCGGTGCGTGGATATTACATTCAAGTGCAGCAGGATAGACAAATACCGAGGAGCATCATGTTAAATCCGTTGGGATATACGCCCCGCCCGTTATGGCGAGCTCTCTGTGGCCACATACAAGGAATATATCGCAGCCACCGTCTCCGCATCCAGGCACGCCGACTTTGTAGGGTTCACCACGAGCGGCACGAACGGCTGCTCATCCACGTCGCACACGGTATGGCTATTCTCCGGAATCACGCCTTCCAGCAGGTACGCGCGCAGGATCTTCCAGCTGCAGAGCGACAGCTGGCTGAGCGTAGTATGGCCGTACCCGTCTGCCTGCTGGACGAGCCGCGCGTTGTTTCCGAGCCTCTGCGGGCTCCCGAGGGCGTTGCAGTGAGGGGTCGTACGTTTGGCTGTCCAAACAGTCTTAAGTTACGTCACCTTTTGCGAGGAAAAGGGATAGGGGAACTGACTTGAGTATCAAAATGGGCGTGTGATGAGTGCCGTTTGCGAGCCCGAACGTCCCTTTGTACCGGCTGCGCGAGGGCTGCACGTCTGGCGTGAGCCATATCATGGATGTCAGGGAATGAATTTATGGAAAGGGAGACGCATGAGCACTGATCGCTGAGCATTTGTGAGTGATCCCGCCGAGATGAATGGGTGAGTTCGATTTAGGAATATCTCGTAGTCCGTGCCTTGACATGCCAGTGACTGCGTATCGACGAGGATTATCTCCTGACCTCGTTTCTTGCAACGTCAGCGTGCACCGGTCCAGCTTACCGTGAGCCGCGATCCAGCTCCTCCTTCTCTGTCACGATTACGCGCTCCCGGTACCTACGCAGCGGCAGGGGTATCCACACCAAGTCATGTAAGAGGAGCAGTAGTAAGTGCAGTGAACAGTCGCCAGCTGGGTGAGACGCAGGGGAGAGTCGTATACAGTGCTATGCCAGTCAGTACATACAGCGTCGGAGCAGCGCTGCAGCGGAATTTGAGTCGACTCGAGACTCGAGAGAGCACGTAAAGGTACGGGGATTGGAACTCCCCCGGCCCATGCACGCGGTGCTGCACGTGGCTATAATCACTGTACGTCGAATTTGGAATCAAAATGTGGCTGGATTTGCACCGACTTCGCTCAAGGCAGAACCTCACGACCTCTCCTAGGCCGGCTGCTGGCCACCTGGTGGGTAAATAACCCGATGTCCAGCTTGACTTCGGTTCTCTAATGACCATCTACTAGGTGGTCAGTGTTCAAAAGCAACATGAATCACCTAAGCAACTCTGCGCATGTGCAAGAACTCGCCGCGGTAGACGACCGTATCGAGGAGATGCAGTCTCTTGCCAGTCGGATACATCACGAAACCAACGGTATCTGCAGCAATCTCGTGTGCTTGGCCGAGGAAAGAGTCCTTATCGGCACTCGTGTCGCACCAAATGCTCTTGCTAATCTGGACGATTGTTTACGGGTCCAGTCGGAGGCCCTGCGGCTCGCGGAGAGGCGGAACAGCAATTGGAAGAGCTCAGAGAGTGTCGGCGACTGCTCGCCTCGCGCGTCTCGCCCGCGCAGGTGATTCCGGAAGAGATCTGGGTCGATATATGGACTCGTGCGGATGTGGTTCCTCGTCCACTGGACTCGCCGCCGACTCCCTTCGCCCTTTCTTGGGTGAGCAAGTGGTGGAGGTATGTGCTCCTTCGAACTCCGGCGATGTGGGACTTTATCCAGGTGTCTCCGAACACTTCGCCTGCCCTTTTGCGCTTACAAGTGCAGCGGTCGGGATCTCGTCTCTTGACAATATTGTTAAGCCTAAAGTCCGCCGTCCCTCCGAAGGACGGGGCGGGACGGTTCATTTCACTCATGGCCGAGCTCGAAAAATGTGCAGACCGCTGGCAGTCTTTCCACCTACGCGAAGTCACACGGCCCAAAGGGCTCGAGCGCAGTGACCCTGCTCTCTACTCCAATGCTGCTCTCTACTTCAATGCTCTCCAGAACTCATTGTGTGGCGTCCACGTGCCCCATCTTCGACACTTCTGCGCCTGGTGGCATGGCGAGCACCGTCTCGGCGCCGTGCTCAAGCGCGGGGCGCCGCACTTGTCTGAAGTCCAGCTGTCAAATGTGCGGATATCCGACAATCTCCATCTCCTCCGCGGGCTGACAAGCCTCGAGCTGACGGAACCCCATTATCGAGGGACACTGACTAAGATACAGCTCCGCAATACCCTGGCGGCGTGTCCTGCACTGCACCATCTGGGCCTTGAAGGGAGATGGTTTGAGAGCGATCCTGCCTTTCGGTTGCGCCATCCGGATCCGCTAGCCCTTGCATCGTTGAAATCTCTGAAGCTCTGCATGCAGGACCGCTGGGAAGAAGAGGGCTCTATTGTGCACGATCTATTCGACGTGGTCATCGCCCCGAGACTGCAGTCGCTGCAGCTAGTAAGCTTGTCCTCGCAGACGTGCGATGCGTTTTTAGATGTGTTGGAGCAGAGGCCACAGGCCTGCGGCTCAGACTCGCTGGCCCTATTATGTCTGCAAGGCGGGGATGACTTTGACAAAATGGAACTGGACGTCCGTGTTTATTCCCGGATGTTCCAAACATTTCGCAAGCTTCGGCACCTTTGGATAGACACTGCCCCGGAGGACGCCAGCTCCTGCCTGCGGACGCTGGAGACGATGGCCGATGGGGGCACGCCGCTCGTCCCGTCGCTGGATACGTTGACCATTAACGTAGGGTCTGCGGAGGACAACGGAGCGGATGTCCCCCACTTTATCGCCCGGCGGCAAGAGATGGGCGTCCCCATTGCTACAGTACGTGTGTACCCGGCAGACGATGTGTACGACGAAGAAATACTCGAGTGGGTGAGGTGGTGCCAGGAGAGGGCCGCCGTCGAGGGGATCACCTGCCATGGTACGTCTCCCACGTCTCCATTGCATAGCATGCGCGCTTACTTGGGTGTGCTCGAGCAGAAGTAGGATTTGATTGCATTGAGACGTTGGAGAACATGGTGTTTGCCCCGTTGAAGCTGAACCTGGACAGGCTTCGTCGACGCCCCCGCACACCGCTTGGTTAGCGGGGGCGCGCGTGAGTTAATGGTGCAGTGCTATTGCGATGCGAAGGGTAAATGAAGTACTAGTTGTGACGAGAATGGTACAAAACTCTGCAGGCGACATTTTTACGCAAGCAGTAGCAGGCTTTTCACCGCATCAACTGGATCTCGCACGATGAGACACTCGAGGGCAAGGGCGGCGAGCAGTGGAGTGGGTTCATACCGACACTCGGCACGCCTGCGCGGATAGGACGCACGCTTTAGGGTCCCAGATCACAGGCGCTGATATTGTACCTTCCAGCTTGCTATGCAAGCTATCACTAGCCCCGTGTCAGGCAGCGCCCGCACCGTTGGTGGTGATTCACCGACTGCCTGCAAAATCGGAGAGCGAGAGAGATATTGTGGTATGAATATACCTCAGTCCCGCCAGAGTACTATCGAGAGGAGCGGGATGTCTCTGCGGATAGGCGGATAGGGCTAGACAGAAAATGCGTTGATAGGTTAGATGGTGAGTGGAATACCGATCTTGGATTCCTTTGATTCGCGCACACTGCCCGGTAGCGCGCCGTCACTGAGACATACGACGGGCGGTGGAGGTATTTGTCTGTAAACCGTTCTGACGCGTGTCGTCGGTGTCGGAAAGCTGATGGGAGCTCGCCGGTACTTGTACCGCACAAATCCATAAATTGTGCACCGTGCGTATTTATGGGGAAATGTAAGAACACAGAGGAAATACCCCAACAATACTGCTACAGCATATCGGCGGGACAATTGAAATACCCACACAATATCCCAAAGAATGTCCTTGTTACATTACCCCAGGCCGGCCGATAGGCATTCCCTGCCGTATATTGGCACACCGGCTCCTCTGCTCTTTGCGCTAGCTGATAAACTTGTATGCGTCATATTGAGGCCGATGCAGCACTACGTCCCATACCTGAACTTCGCTACGCGCATATCCAGCCAGAAGGACGTAACTGCACAGCGGCGCGTGTAAACGTGTGATAGAGACTTGGTTGGCGCGGTTCTCGGCTCCAGCGCCCAAAGTCTTCCATACCGACACAAGGACCCCTGTAACTCGGCTCATCACTGGAAGTCCGGACTGACGCGAGACCGGAGGTGAGCCATCGTGACCAGGAATAGCCCAGGCGGGAGGGACTGATACTGCTCTCGAGACCAGAAAGCCAACGATGCCTAGAGTGAACAGAGGCAGCCACGGATGAGGAGACGTGGCATTCGCGCCCAGCGCGTCGACGACTCGAGCAGACGCGCAGGCTGGTTGGGAGGAGGTCGGTTTCGAAGCCTGCGAGGGGTTGCAGATGAAAGCTGCCCGCTGAGCGGTGGCCCGAGCTACGGCAAGGCCCGCGAGTCGCGATTTAGGAGCGAGGGGCGAATCGAAATCAAGCTGGAGGGGCCGGCACGGGCCGATGGGTGTTCTGAAGCTGTGGAAGACTCGGCTTGACCAGGGCGTAAATTGCTAGTCCGTTATAGGATACGCATAAAAAACTCACGCTAGACGATGTTTGCGTTTTGTTCGGTGTGTGTACGTGGAGGAGCGGTAGGTGTGATGCGACTGGGTCAGAGCGGGTTTTTTGATAATGTGGAGGCGGAGGGGATGGGCGCAGAGCAGCCTGGGTCAGATGGCGCCGAGCCAGATCTGGATCCGGTGGTGAGCCAATTGGACAACGCACGCGTCTTGCAGCGCACGTCTTACTGAATTGCCCAATAACGCAAACGTAAAGACACTGCGCTGAGCAATGATGTCGCGACCCAACCGCGCGGCACATTCGTTCTGCAGGCTCGAGCTTTGATGCGGGAGAAGGGGCACCTCTCACGCGACGGTGACCAGCAAATCCGGACGGGGGTGCCGGTTTGCCCGGGAGATGGCGGCGTTCTCTGCGCCGACAGGCGCCGTTGTTGGCCGCGAACGCTATCGAGCTCCAGTCATTGCGTCCACGTCCGCGATTGAGGTTGTAATACCTATTCTGGAGCCTGGAGTGTGATGTGAGCGAGGGGGGTTCCGAACGGCGGGGTAAGCACGTTGTGGACAGTAAGTATGGCGGAGGTGATGGCGGGTCTGACCCTGGAGCAGACGGAGCCGCAGATAGTCCCCGCGTGCTATACCCCTTGGCGACGTATACGTGAGGCGGTAAAGACGCGCCGTCTGGAAAATACGTCGACACGAGTGTGACCGACACCGGACAGATTTGTGCGGCGCGTGTTTGAAGTGGGTTTATAGCGATAGCGACCGGACAGTGAGTATTTGTTAGAGAGGGATGACGAAAATGTTCTTTCTAGGTCGAGGAGGAGCAGATGTCGTGTCGTTGGGTGGGACGGTGGCAGTGGCACGACCGAAACGGGCAATGCACTTGCCTGTTCGGGTATATCCAAGTGAACCTGACCGTGAGACGACGGCACGCGCTGGAGAGAGATCAGGCTGAACGATCTCACAAGCGAGCGCGTACTACTACTGTCAACCCTGCCGCCCTCGTTCCCTCTCGACCCGCACGCCCCTCGTCGTCGGGCGATTTTGCATGGAAATGTGGGAGCATGATGAAGGCGTACTATGTTTAGAGAGAGCAACCCGTCTGGACAGCTTGACGACGCACTTTCGACCTCTCTCGTGCTTAAAGTGGGTCAAAGGCGATTGGGCAGTTTAACGCAGTTGCCAATGCGATGTATATGACGGACGACACTAGGGTTGGGTGGCGGGGGGGGAGCGAAACAAATGATACACTTGCATCTCCAAGTCAACACGCAAGGATGTAAAAACACGGCAAGCTCGAGAAAAAAATAGGCTGAACGCTGTCTCGAGCGAACCCGGACTCTTACCGTGTCGCGCCCCGAAAGGCCCCATCGCAGCGTCGGTAGCCGGACTTTGCATGTACCATGCCTACCAGCCGCGGCTCTGCCGGGCTCGGAATGTCCGAAAATAGCCTAACGCGGAGGCAGTCGGCCGCATATAACCCAGCTGGCTGCGATAACGCGACCAGCCAGCAACGCAACGATGCCCCCGCCCGCGACCGCGACCGCGTCCCAGTTCCCCGTGCTCGCGCGCCTGCTGTCCGCCAACGCGCAGTGGGCGGAGGACGTCGCGCGAGCCGAGCCGCGCTTCTTCGACGAGTGCGCCGGCGGCCAAGTACCCAAGGTACGTCATCCATTTGTATTTCGAGCTCGCCGCCGGGAGCGAGGAAGGCGGGCGAATTTGTAGTGGGATGGGTGCGGGGGGCTTAGCACTTTAGGTTAAAGGAGGGCGTGTGCTGACTGACGCCTTTGGCATGCAAGATCCTGTGGATCGGCTGCGCGGACTCGCGCGTGCCCGAGTCGGTCGTCACCGCGTCCAAGCCCGGCGAGATCTTCGTCCACAGGAACATCGCAAAGTGTGTCCCCCGCCCGTTTTGGGTTGTCTTCAGTCCTGCCACTTACCGCGAATCCCCCCCCTCCCGCCCAGCCAATTCCACCTCGACGACGACAACGCCCAGGCCGTGCTCACCTACGCCGTCGCCGAGCTCGGCGTCGAACACGGTCCGTCGTCCCCCCTGCCCCGCCTCCTTGTCCCGCCCACTAACCCCCCGCCAGTGCTCATCGTAGGCCACACCAAATGCGGCGGCGCCGCCGCGTGCACCGCCGCCGCCGCCGCCGCCGCGGCGACGCCCGTGCCCTCGCTCCCCCCCTCCGCGTCGATCAACAGATGGCTCGCGCCGCTCGCCGCGCTCGCGGCGAAGCTCGCGCCCGGCGAGGACCTCGTCGCGGCCAGCGTGCGCGCGCAGGTCGCGAACGTGTGCGCGACGGACACGGTCAGGGGCGCGTGGGCGCAGGGGCGGAAGGTGTACGTGCATGGGTTCGTGTACGAGATCGAGCGCGGCGTGTTGAGGGATCTCGGGGTGAGCAGGGGCCCGGAGTAGGTGGGGTCGGTCCGGGGGGTCAGAGAACCGTATCTATTTTACGACTTATCGGTGTATTTATGTCTCGCCACGCTTATAGACGGATGAGCTTCCCTCGAGATCAGCCCGCCGCCATTTCCTCGGCGACCGGAGGGGACGCCCACACTTTTGTTCCATTCACCGAAGATCCCGTTCCACCCCTCGGGGCGTCCCCTTCCCCGCATTAATCTCCACCGCACCCGAGCTCACGATCCAAAAGCGGCTATACAAAGTCCGTGCATTCCATGCGTCAATTTAGCCATGTACTCTTGTAGATATATGCGGGCGGGGGTCTAGCTAGCGCTGTCCGTGTTGCGGCAGATAAACGTATACGTATACTCGGACCACGAATAAAGGGAAACGCGTCAATGGGTAAGCGAAAAAGGGAACACGGGGCTGGGCTGGGTGCTGTAATAAAGAACGAGAGATGCAGTCGGGCGGGGGCGGGGGCGAACACGGCCGGCGAGGAGACGACTAGCAGATGACGCAGCACTTGCCCGCGCCCGCGTCGTCGCCCGCGTCGCTGTGCCGCCGCCGGTGGCCCTGGCGCTCCGTCGAGGGCACGTGCGCGGGCACGCCCTCGCGCATGAGCATGCTCGCGCGCGTCGCCGCCTCGAACACGTCGTCCACGCCCTCGATCTTCAGCGCCGAGCACTCTGGCGTTGCCGTTGACCCATTCCAGCGCAGGGGAGGAAGGAAAGAAGGAAGGAAGGAAGGAAGGAAAGAAGGAAAGCAGTCAGCTTCCCGCCACCCAGCGCGCGAGCACGGCGCACGCACCTTTGTACGCCCGCGCGCCGATCGCCTGCGCAACGCGCTCCGCCTGCGCGCGCGAGACGTAGTTGCCGAGGCGCGGGTCGCCCGGCGGCGGGCGCAGGTCGGACTTGCAGCCGACGAGCAGCACGGGGATCGTCGGCCCGCAGATCGAGCGCACTTCTTCGATCCACTAGGGGGGGCGGGTGAGTGAGTGGGGGTGACGGGGGGATAGACGGTATGGGGAGGGGGAGGGGGAGGGGGAGGAAGAAGAGCGATAAGGACACGGGCGCGGAGATGACCGCGATGGATGAGGGGGAAACGGGCAGAGAGCGCACCTTTACGGTCACGTTGTCGAGCGAATCTGGGGTGTCGATTGCGAACGCGATCAAGATAACATGGGATTTAGAGTAGGAGAGGGGTCGTAAACGCTGTTTGCACCCGGTCAGACGCGGGACGCCCAGCCAGCCGAACGGGCAGACAACAAACGCACCTCGTATTCTTCTTGTCCGCTGCGCCGTCCCGACAGTCGGCGTGAGAGGCATATGGGAAGGAGCTAGAGGGGGGGGGGTGCTCACGCGGTATCCCACAACGCCAGCTGCACGGGTTTGCCGTCCAGCCTGATCTCTGCCACGTAGTTCTCAAAGATGGCTTATCCAGCCAACCGGTCAGGATCGCGGTACACATCCATACACGGAGGCACTCACTCGGTTGCTTCACACGCGCGCATGACACTCAGTACGGCGGAAACGGGTAGCGGTGCGGGACTCACGTATTCCTTGGGGAACTCTCCGAGCGCGAACGAACATAACAGCGACGTCTTTCCGCAGGCACCTGGTGTCGTGTGGGATCGGCGGCAGTGAATGGGGCAAGTGCGCAGGATGGGTTAGGGTCAGTCAGCGCGCGGTGCGAGAGGTCGCAGAGCAAGAGCGATACGCGCCATCACCCACGATAACCAGCTTCCGGCGGATCTGCGAGGAGGCGGGTTCAGAGGGCGCGTGCAGGGAAACAGACAGCGGGAGCACGCACGGGGCTCTGAGAGGTCGACATGGCGGTCGCGAGCGAGACAAATTTCGGTCGGACGTGGGCGTCACAGACACCGGTGCAAATCGGCGGCGGGTTCAGTCGGTCGTGTAATCGTCAAGGTCAGGCAATGAGCTGTTGCGAGGAGGGGATATAAGGCGCGGGCGGGCGGTGAGAGAGGAGGACGGAGGGAGAATCGCGGTCGCGGTACGGCTGCGGTGCCTTGCCCGGCCACTTGTGTGACCATACCCGTGTACGTAAGCAATTACGTAATGCTTTCTCCTGCCCGCCTGGCTCAGCTCTGAGCCCGAGCGCGCTGCGATACAGACCGGGGTTGTTTATTCGCTGCTCCAAAAGTCCCGGAATCCAGTGCAGGAAGATTCATATAACGCGTTAGAGTGCTGCTCGCCCGCTCACAGCGGTCAGTGACACCCGCCACCGCACTGCACCGGTCAGCGGCTCCTCCCGACTGCAAGTCGTACGACAACGAACGGACGGTATCTTGTGTACCCGCCACAGCTCCGCGCCCAGGAGATAAGCCTGCCAGCCTCTGTGATCTGCACACGCACGCACCTCTCTTGTTCTATTCCGAGCTTCTTCCATGCCACACTGGGCCGGATCGCAATACACACTGCTCGCACGTTCTCCTCATCTGGGCCAACTTGACTCGCAATCAAGCACAGCGGTCGGTGTAGCGTATTGTACCAACTGAAGATTCAAACCCGAGCGTCAACCAGCCACGTCATCACGTCCGTGAACGACCTCATGCGTATACGACCAACACATCTTCCGATGGACTCGGCAACGCCGCTTTCTGACCACCGATGCCCGTTCGCCTGATACATCCCTCCCCAGCACTCTCCGCCCCCGCTCTAGCTCCCCCTCCCGGCGTGCTGCGCGAGCGCACTCTCCCGGCGCGCAGCCAGCGCAGCGCCGACCTTCCGCCCCACGTGGCTCACGAAGCTCTCGAACAGCGCGCGGTCCCGCCCCCGTACCCACCGCGCCTCCAGCACCATCCCTGCCCCCCCTTCCTTCCCGTCCCGCTGCATCCCGAGTCGACAACGCATCCCGCCGCCCGCGGAGGCGCGCCGATCCTTGTGCTTGCGGCGCGCGGCGCGGGACCACGTGTCCCTGCCCACCTCCACCTCCACCTCCGCCTCCGCCTCGTGCGCGCGATGCGCAATGACGGCGCCGTCGATGCTGGCGAGCGCCGCGGCGAGCGCCGCGGCGTCGGGGGCGTGGGGGAAGGGCTGCCGGAGCGCCGTGCGCGCGGGGAGGAGGTGCGCGAGCGCGGGCGTGCGCGCGCGCGCGAGCTCCTGTTATATAACACCGATACCACGCACAGCAGTCAGAAACGGCGGACGGGGCGCGGTGGTTGGGGCGCGGGGACGCAAGGAAAGGGGGGAGGGTACGCAAGGAAAGGGGGGAGGGTACGCACGTCGGGGAGGTGCCTGTCGGCGAGGGACCACGCGACGGCCCACCGCCGCGTGTGGCCCTGCACGAACTCGGTCAGTGCGTAGTTGGGGACCTGCGTGGTTTGGGTTATTTCGTTCGGGTTAGTTTGTGGGTTGGTTGGGAGTGGTGAAGCGAGAGATGGGGGGCAGAGGGCGTGGGGTGGGTGAGGGGCAGGACGGGAGACGAGGGGCTTGCGAGCAGGGGGCGGGGGATGCGAGACGCCGAGATAAAGGGACGTACGTCGTTGGCTTTCAGGTGCCCGACTACTTCGGTCACAGAGGACAGCTTGCCGAGCATGGACGTGTACCACCTACATATATATCGTATTCAACATGGGACTACTTGGCTGGATGGGAGGACAAGGTGGCGGGGCGAGGAGGAGCGGGTGGGAAGGAAGAGGGCCAGGGGAGAGCACCCGTACGTACCTGCATCGCTCGCGGAGTACCAAGCTCTCGTCGACCATCCGCCGCACGAAGGCGCTCTCCCCGCCGGGCGTGATCATCTCCACCGCTGCGCCGGTGCATACCTGGCATCTCCATCAGAACCGAGGGAAAGGCCGAGAAAGCGGGAGGGGAGAGAGGGAGGGGTGGGAGGAGAGGGGAGAGAGGAAGGTGGGAACGTACGCCGCTGGGCTCGGCGAGCTTCCCGCCCGCGGACGCGTCCACCTCTTCTTTGCTCGCGTAGAACGGGGGGTTGCACATCGTGAAATCGAAGCTGCGCAGTCATGAGAGATGCAGGCGCGCCGGTCAGTCAATCGGCGAGAGTCAGTCAACCGGCGAGTCAGCCGCGCGCGGGGTGTACGCACGTATCGTCCGGTAGCGAACCCAGCGGGAGCAAAGGCGCGTCTGGCGATGCGCGCACCACTTGCACGCGGTCTGCGAGACCGTTGGCGAGCACGTTGGCGAGCGCGTGGTTGTACGACGCCTGGTCTATCTCTATCGTCCACGTACGCACGGAAGATTGGATCAGTAATCTCACCCGCTCAACGGGGGGCCGCACGGGGGGACGCACCTGTTGCGACAAAGTGCCAGTTGGGCTGCAGCCGGCACGCGAGGAGGGGGTAGATGGCGGAGGCGCCGGTCCCTCTGCACGGCGGTGGTCATGTCACTACATGAAATTCTGTAAAGGAATGGAGAAAGAGACAGACATGTCGATGCCGCGGACCAGACCATCTGGGTTATCAGACGTCTCGCGCACGATGTCCTGCAACCACAGGATGTAGTTCAGTCTGTTAGGTACCTGCGGCTCCAATTTATTAGGTTATCGAAAACTCGAATGTTGGACTCCGTGTACCGGGGGACATAGTCGGTCGCCTGGTATCGTTACTCGCAGTCCGAAATCACGATGCAGCAGGGCTTCTGTCAGACGTCTGCGCCAAGTACCTAAAGAGTGAGGTACCAGCCAGTATTCGTGAGTGACGGGGTCACCTTTGAGATTGTTCGTTCTTAAAGTCGATTGTAGCTCTCCCCTCCGGCGTAAAGATGAGGCTGCACGGCGAGGATGAGTAGCAGTCCAGGTAGACCGACCGTGCATGTTCTTACCATGATTTGAGTGGCGGGTACGCGTCGGCGAGGAGAACAAAGTCTGGCGGGTCGCGATACGGATTCCTGGCATGCATAGTCTTCCAACTCGCTGTCCTCCAGAGCAACCAACTATCAGGATGTGGCGAATGCCACAATTCAAAGCACCCTGGCAGTCACGGTAATCGAATCCGGATCGGGAACAACCGTGAGAAGGATTCGCCGTAAGCGCTGACGTCACTTTCCCCCCGTATTCTGACATACATAAGTCGCTCACGAGCGTCCAACTCATTCCCATCCACCAACAACGCCAGCAACGATGCTCACGACCGCAACCCGCACCCTCGCCCGCCCCGCCGCCATCCGCCGCTTCGCCCTCGCCGCGGGCGGCGCGCGCTCGCAGCACACGCTCCCCGACCTCCCGTACGCGTACAACGCGCTCGAGCCGTACATCGCCGAGGACATCATGAAGCTGCACCACCAGAAGCACCACCAGGCGTACGTGACCGGCCTCAACGCCGCCGAGGAGGCGTACGCCAAGACGCAGAGCCCCAAGGAGCGCATCAAGCTCCAGCCCGCGCTCAAGTTCAACGGCGGCGGGCACATCAACCACACTCTCTTCTGGAAGAACCTCGCCCCTGCGAACGCGGGCGGCGGACAGCTGTCCAGTGGCCCGCTCAAGAGCGCTATTGAGGAGTCGTTCGGCTCGGTTGATGCGTTCAAGAAGAAGATGAGCGCGACGACTGCCGCGATCCAGGGCAGCGGCTGGGGATGGCTGGTGAGTCTGGCCCCTCTACATTGATCCAGCTGGGTGCTGATATGTCGGGATGTAGGGCTATAACCCCGAGACGAAGAAGCTCGAGATTGTCACGACCCCAAACCAGGACCCGCTGCTCTGTACGTCCCCCTTCCTCACCTAGCCGCGCGTCCTCGGTGCTCACGGACACACAATTAGCGCACGTCCCCATTATTGGCATCGACATCTGGGAACACGCTTTCTACCTCCAGTACAAGAACGTCAAGGCTGATGTAAGTCACCTCCTTCGCTCTCCGTCTCAGACTATTTGCTAAGCTGTTTCGCCATAGTACCTCTCGGCGATCTGGAACGTGATCAACTGGAAGGAGGCCGAGCAGCGCTTCACCGAGGCCGCCAAGTGAGCCCGAGCGGAAGTGAGGAGAAAAGACGGCATGGACCGTAGTTCGACGAGGTTACGAGTATGCTTGCTGTAGTGAACAATTGTATTTTTATGTTTGATGCATATAGTCTTGCTTTCGCTTCGGGTTCGTGCCTTGAGTGTTGGCCAGCTCAGGCCAGACGACGTTCTTGGAGATAGGTGCCAGGTGCGCCGGACTCATTCTGCCACCCGGCAATTGCCACAACCTGAGGCCGGACGTCCTCCGTGCATTGGCTGTAGTCTTTTCGACTAGAGCGCGTCGGCTGCATACGACGCTCAGCTTCGAGCTACCGACGACAAGATTCTCTGGATTATGATATCTCATCCGCCGTTCAGGTTGTGTTTGTGATAAGTCTACAGCATGAACGTGTCCTGATACGGCGTAGCGCGCGGTAATATGAAGAGATCAGACGCGCAATATTAATGATTTGAGGAATTTCCATCGCGCTATCTGCGAACGTTCCAAGTGAACATGCGCCCCTCCCCACTACATGTACAGTGGCGGACAAAAGTATCTGCACTGCCGCATCTTCGGGGGAAAAGCGGCTGTCTTTGTCTTGTAGCTTACACTTTCATTCCAGAAATTGTATGTACATGAAGAGAGTCTAATATACTACCTTCCCCACCAATTTTATGGGGTGGCAGCTTGGAGGATTATGAGCCAGGGAGTCATTATGCCTCGACGTGTGACAAGAGTGACTGTCACAGCGCTGTTTCCGTCGACAACCAACCGAATCCTACCCTCAACTTGACTCCCCTGCCCGAACTTTGCTCACATACAGACTCTCTATGACCTACACATCACCGTCCAAATGTGGCAGGATTGTTGAACTCTCCAACTCTGGTTGCAAAGCCAATGACATTGCGAAGCGGTTCAGCATCTCAAAGCGGGCCGTTTTCGACATCGTCAAACATTACAAGACTACTGGGAGTTGCTATCCCCGTCCCAAATCAGGCCGTCTGAGGAAGCTCACACCCCAGGACCGCAAATTTGCTGCCCAGTTGCTTGACAGAGGCCGGTGCCGTAATGCCGTCGACCTGCGGGACATCGACAACTACTTTGAACATGTCACTGCCCGGACTGTTCGCCATGCCTTGCACAAGGAAGGACTTCATGCTAGGGTTCGTAGGAAGGTCCCCTTCCTGAATGCCAAGCATCGGTCTGCCAGGTGGGCTTGGGCGCGTTGTGTTGCAGGTTGGAGTGTGGGGATCTGGAAACGGGTCATTTTCTCGGATGAGTCCAAATTCAATTTATTCACTTCGGATGGGCGGGATTATTGTTGGAGGAGGCCAGGAGATGCAATCCAGGAGCGGTATACCCGGAAGACCTGGAAGCATGGTGGTGGGCATGTGATGGTGTGGGGATGCATGACGTGGAAGGGCGTTGGGCGTCTTGTTCGGATTGAGGGAACCATGACGGCAACAGAGTATGTCCAGATTCTTCAAGGACAGCTTCTAGGGACCATGTCGGACTATAGGATGAACCCCCGGCATTTTATCTTCCAGCAGGACAATGATCCAAAGCACCGCTTATGCCTTGCCCGAACCTGGTTCGAAGATAATCTTGTCCGTGTTCTCCCCTGGCCAGCTCAAAGTCCTGACATGAACATCATTGAGCATCTATGGGACCACCTCAAGCGCAAAGTACGGGCCCGAGACCCAGCTCCCAAGAATCTAGATGAGCTTTGGGCTGCGATTGTGGAGGAGTGGTACCGGATTGATGTCGCCACAGTACGCCGCCTATACTCAAGCTTACCCCGGAGGGCCCTGGCTATGAAGAAGGCTAAGGGTGCTAATACAAAGTACTAAATCAGGTCAGTCATTCAGGCCGAGAATTATTTTTTATAAATTTATTGATTCCATCTAACCAGTTCTGAGGGTACCGGGTTCGAGATGAATTTACCTCCTGGAAGCAAGGAGTGGGGCATCTAGGGCTGAAAGTCTGTATGCATTTATCTTACATAGAGTAGTTACAAATCATGAATATACATTGATCCATGTTGCCCCCGATCTGCCCAGAACCGTGAAAGTGGTGGCAGTGCAGATACTTTTGTCCGCCACTGTACAGTATGCACGATCGTATATTACTTACGCGTGCTTGCTTGGAGGCTTTCCAGACCAGGACGTTGTCAAAGATAGCACCATTGGCGCCCGGGGTACGATATCGAGTCATTCGCCATAAACTGTCGCGAGAAATGGTGACTCCTCCCCGAAATCATCCTCTTGTGTGAGAAAGGTTGAATCGCTGGAGTCTCCCCAAGGTACGCATGCGCATTTGACGATTTCCACCCTCTTTGCGCACGCATCTGATTGTACGCGACCTGAGCGTCAAGCATCGTCTAGCATGCCTCGGTAACAGCGAAAAACACGGACCGGCTTCCATGATAAAGGTCCATCTTTCCACTGCACCCGTTCTACACACCAGGCCGATCACTGGACCGCATCCGACAATGCGAATGGGCATCGTGAGCGTCCTCCAAATATCTCTGGCGGTCCCAATTGAAGCGTGGTGCTGAGCAGGCAGGTGGCTTCACGAGCTCCTCGCACGTCCCCGCAGCTCACTGCAGGCTTCTTTCACGGCGTCATGTCGCCACAAAGGTGCCGCATTAGTTTTAGATGTCTCCACATATGACACAATCAGACGCTGAATCGACCTGGTGACCCCAGGGAATTGAACGTGTTATCTCTTCGAGCGTCCGAAGTGAGCATTGTGATAGGTATTTTCCATCTCCTGGAGCGTCTGAAGTGGTCATCCTGCTGATCCACATCGTGCACGATCTGATATTACTTATGCGTGATTGGGCGTTTTCAGATACAAGATGCCGTCGAGGATAGCCCTGTGCCCCGTTGGGATCCGTCCCGCGGTACTAATGCTCAGCGACATGCCTTGCATACACTGCGACCACCGTTCTCTGCATGTATCAGGCGGATATATGTGAACGTAAGTTGGAATAAGCTTGGGACTTTTTGGAAGCGGTCTTCGACAATTTTCTAATCCCTTATGCAGGCATCTCAAAAATACTAGTCGCAAGACTCCAGCAGACATTTATACTCCAGACGCCCATAATCCCCTCGATGGCAGCGATAAAGGCTTTTCTGCTTCCATGCCAGCGCCATACCCCGTCCCAGGTCCCCGTCTCAGGTGAACCTAAGATTACGGATTCCACCCGGTCTTGCTTGATTTTCTCCAAGGTAATACGGTGTTGCGCCGAGCGTACATAAGCCGCACTAACGACAGAGTCTCCCTCATTGAAGGACCCTGTTCTCCATTCTACAGTCCTCTTCATTTCCTAACAATCCTGAGCTATCTCGCGATGTCCCCCGTTGCGACCGACTTCCCTGTGCTTGCGGGCTTGCTTTCCTCGAACGCTCAGTGGGCAGAGGACATTAACGGCAAGAATCCCGACTTCTTCCCCTGCACTGCCAATGGACAAGCGCCAAAGGTATGCTGCTTGAGTGGTCGCTGGTGTACTCGAACCACGCAGCACCCGAGCGCCCTCTTGATGTCCATGTTCTCCTCACCATACCTTCTGACTGCCGCTCCGTACTGACCAATGCCTTCTTAACGCCATAGATCTTGTGGATTGGCTGCGGCGATTCTCGAGTGCCAGAGTCAGTCATCACTGCATCCGAGCCGGGCACGATTTTCGTGCACCGCAACATCGCAAAGTAGGCACATCTTTCCCTTTGTATATCATGCATTTGTCTCATCTTCTCATTGCCAGCCTCTTCCACTTGCACGACGATAATGCCCAGGCCGTCCTGGAGTTCGCGGTCCAGGACCTCAAAGTCGAACATAGTACGTCCAGTATTCGCCCGCTTTCAGCCCACACCAAACACCACATGTTGCAGTTCTGGTCGTCGGGCACAGCAACTGCGGCGGCGTGCAAGCCTGCATTAATGCAGCCGCCGCGCCCGTTGAAGCGGACGCGCCTGAGGCTACCCCCTACGACTGTCCGGCCGGCTCGAACGCGCCGCTCAATCGGTGGCTCGTTCCCCTCGTGGAGCTCGTGCGCGCCACGCAGGTCCCAGAGGGCCGGGACGCCCTTGATTTCTTCATAGAGGAAAGTGTTAAGGCGCAGATCGCCAACGTCTGCAAGACCGAGACGATCTTCGCGAACTGGGCCAATCGTAGCTTGGAAAAGAAAGTGTATGTGCATGGCATGGTATATGATCTCGGGACTGGGAGACTCAAGGACCTGGGCGTTTCTCGAGGATCCGAGTCCCTCGAAGTCTGACCGATACATCTATGAATGAGTTTGTCCGACCCGCACATAGTGTATGAGTAAAGTACAGGATGTTATCAGAATTGCGAATGTGCGGTCACCGTCAGTCCTCGCCGTTCTCCTACTTTTCCTATGCGTGTCAATATAGGAACAAAATCCGACCCTGAAATACCATCATACCGAAGGTGGAAAAATGAGCGCACCTCTGCCGACAATTGTCTCGGGTGTTATCGTTGGCGGCAGAAGACGAAGTGCAGATGACACCAAAGGCCAACTTGAACGTAGCGTTACATATCCTCTACTATGTCTCAGTTAAACCTAAGTATCACGGATCAATATCGATGTTGCGCTGGCGTGCTACGGTATACATCAGAGAACAACAGTGCTAGGAAGTTGCAGTGCTCACGACGAGATGTTGGAAAGCCTGGAAGCACTTGAATATCGCAAGCCTATTGTTGACCTGTAGCATCCCACTGACATGGAACGAAACAAGATCTGGTACCGGGGGAACGAGCCTTTCAACTATCGTCGGAGTTGCTGGGTATTGGGCGGAGGCGAGGGCAAGCAGCAGCTCCTCGGTCACGGTTATCTTGTAGAAGGTCGGTGTCGACCCCACAAATGTGACTGCAGGGAAAGTCATGCTTTCGAGAGCAGGCAATGCCAGTCTGCTTCGCAGGTCGCTATTTTCAGAAAAGGCCGCGCAAGCCGACGCGATAAAGTGTGCTTCTGTGTCGACGCCTGCCCCAAGGCCCTAACGTAGGGTGTTCAGGCTGAGCGGAGAACGCAAAATCATCTTACTGACCTTACCTTTTAGCACTAGCAGGATATAGTACGTCGCGGTTTCATTGATGGTCTGCATCACACAGACATCCGTCTCGGCACTTACCCTCTGCCCACACATAACAAAGCTCATTTCTCGCCAACGACGAGTGACTCGTTCGCCTTCGTCAAAGTCCATCATGTCCAACAAGAACATGGCAAAGTCATCTACAGGTGGTTCCTGTCCCGGAGAGGGGTGAATGATATCGGACAGAAGTTGGTAAAACTTCCAGTCACTTCTATTCTTATGGTGTTTGGGTATGTCCTTGAGGTATACAGGCATCGTCTCGTGATGAAGGATGAGCGGTGAAACGGCGGGAGGAGGGAGCCGGTCGATGCCAAAGAAATTTGGATAGTCTTTTGGGACAACTTGGATGTTGAAAGCAAGGAGATCGTTGATGGTCCAGTCCCTTCCCAGCTTCGCGGAGCGTATGAGGGAGGACATGGCGACTGTATAGTGGTATTGAAGGCCGAGGAGACCTGGGCGGTGGTGGATGATGACTAGTTAGACGTGCGGGGAGTATTGAGCGCCGCCGCGAGTTGGTTGGAAATGAGTTGACGGCAGTCCTCTAGTAAGTAATCGAATATTGCCACCACGCACAGGACATCGACTGACAATCACCAGTTGTACGACCACGACTTGACGTTCCCCCAACAAGGTCGGAACTTGGTCGGAACGTTACCCTTCGAGTCGAGCTTCACGCCACCGGCGTTCGCCGAGCGGAGTCTGAGTGGCTGCAGTGCAGCCGTACCAGATCATGAGGATTAGGCTCATAATATTCCACTGGAAGTCTCCTTTGCATCTCCTGCATTAGTAGGTTGTTTCTAGACAGATTCAATCGAAAAAGTGTTCGGAGACCCAAGAGTATGTATAGTGCTGTTACGCCGCAGTCGACTCACGCAGATTCGAGCACTAGGTGCGACACTTGGGGCGTGAATTGCCCTCATCTCCCCGATATCACCATCCAATAGTGAGTCAGTCTGCTTCCTTGACTAGTGAATAGGTTGTAGGTAAAGATGATAGTGAGATTGCTCCAAGGTGGCGGCGAGTTTCGTAGACTCGAGTTCAAATAGTACGGCAGCGGTTGTTTTCTCTTTTACTGATGACTGCCGTTAGAGGCAGAATGAATAATCTCAGGAGCCCAGTGCATATCCAGGAATTAGAAGCAGTCAACTCTGAATTTGAAGAAACCCAGTCGCTTTCGGCTCGCGTACGACAGGAATACAATGACGTCTCGCAGGACCTCCAGTCGTTGATCGACGAGAAAGCCCACGTCCTGACCCGGATTTCACCAGATCGTCTCCTGACTCCGAAATTCCGCGAGTGCATCAGCGCAGCGGTCGGAGATTTGGACGAATGCATTAGGACCCAATCGCAAGCCTCACAGCTAGTTCGGGAGCGCCTGCGGGAGGCAGAGACGAAGCTGGAGACGATCAGAGAACGCCGTCGATCGCTCCTGTCGTACGTGTCACCTGCGCAGGTTGTCCCGGAAGAGATCTGGGTGAAGATATGGACCTGGGCTGACGTCGTACCACGTTCAATCCGTTCCACGCAGTTGCCTTTCGTCCTATCGTGGGTCAGCAGGCGATGGAGGGAGGCGCTCTTGCGAACACCTACTATGTGGTGCTTTGTCCAGACCTCTCCGAACACTTCGCCAGCACTCCTACGGTTGCAAGTTCAGCGATCGGCGTGTTGTCTCTTGAAAATATTCTTCAGCTTCCGGTCCGCTTTTCCTACCAGGACTGTAGCGAAGGGGGGACTAGACGGACTTCTTGATATCTTGTCGGAGCTGGTACAATGCTCGAACCGTTGGGAGTCTTTTCATTTCGGCGAAACCTGTCGATACAAATGGGACCAATGCGGAGAGGTGCCATTGTATTCGGACAAGCTCCAGGACTTGCTCCGTGGCGTCCACACACCTCACCTTCGACACTTGTGTACCTGGTGGTACGGATTCAATCGTCTGGGCGAACTTTTAGGGGCCGGAGCACCGCTTTTGTCGGAAGTCCAGCTATCGAACACATCGATGCCTGCGAATCTCCATCTCCTCCGCGGGTTGACGAGCCTCGAGTTGATGGATCAGCCTCATTATGAAGAGCCACCTAGTCTGCTAGATTTCCGCAATGTGCTCACGCAATGTCCTGCCCTACGCCATCTGGGCCTCGATGGATGTGGCTTTGCCAGCGATCTTGATATACGGTCCCTCCATCCTGATCCCTTGTACCTGCCATTGTTGAAGTCCCTGAAGATCTGCTTCGTAAATTACTGGATAGAAGAGGATTCCTGCGTTCAGGTGTTATTCGACGTATTTGGTGCTCCAAACTTGGACTCGCTGCAGCTAGTAAGCTTGTCTCGGAATACCTGCGAAGCATTCATACGAGTGTTGGAGAAGAAGCCTCTGGCCTGTGGATCAGAGTCGCTGTGCCTGCTATATCTGCACTCCGGTGAAGAAGGCGCCAGGATCAATCTTGGAGCATCCCTGTCTGCCAGGATGCTTGCTCTGTTCCCAAACGTTCAACACCTCTGGATAGACGCTGATAAGGAGGATGGTGATGATTTCATAATAGCACTCCAATGGAATAAAGAGCCGCTTTGCACGTCCTTGCATACTCTTACACTCAACATAGGTTCTGGGCAGTTCGAAGTCTTGGATAACGGAGGGACGTACCTCCGTGATTTCATTGCAGGTCGGGAAACCAATGGACTGCCCATTACTACGCTCCGCCTTTATCCTGCATCCGAAGCGTATCAAGCGACGGAACTGTTATCCTGGTGCCATGAGAAAGTCACCATGGAGGTGTTGGGAGATCGCGGTACGTTGTTCGACGAGTATTGCATCGCCCACTCACCAGCTGTCTCGCTGAACAGAAATAGAGTTTGATTGTTTCGAAATGTCGGAGAAGATGGTGCCCTCACTGATGAACCTGCACTAACGTTGTGAACCCAGCTGCAGTCGCTCTGGGCTATAGAATATAGTGGCTTCATGCAAGTTAGATTGTAGAGCTAGCTTCGCGGTACCTCATATAAATAGCTGCACTATTATATGCTGAAGCCTACGCGAGGCAGCTAAATGACAGTTCCACCTATGTCTCAGGGTTGAAGAGGCTTTCTCGTGCTTCGGGCTTTGGTCGAGTCGGTGCTTGTGGAATAATTCATGCAACGCTGGGAAATCATTATGACAGATTTCAGGGTAGCAATTCAAGCCCCTGGCCTATCTGCCACCTACTTAAAAGGACCCTGCGTGTCGCGCAGATATGTGGTACTAAACGTGCAATAAAATGCCTACTTGAGGAATCACCGGAACATCAAGGCATCGAGGACGCATGGGACCAGCCACACTGGCAGCCACCGGCATTACCCGAGTTCTACTGAACGCCACCGGTGCTCGCAACATCGAACAACATCAGTACAGGCATGAACTCCACATCATTTCTGTGTCTATCGTGGTCGGCACTCCGAGGATATCGGCTGCTCGATGTAGTGTAATGTGCTTGAAATAGCAGTGAGCGTGGACATCTACCTGATAATTCCCATGAATATGTCGGTGCGCCAACAACCGCGGAGAGCCTACACTGACAATCCAAGTCTGGTTTCGGAGCTCTTCTCACAGCTCCTGCCACTATGGCTCGCTGGCCTCCCACGAACGCCTCCGCTTTCCTGCTACCCGGAACGACGGACGTGCATAGCCGGCCGGATCGTGGGCTCTCGTGTCGCCCGTCCCCTATATTGACGCAACCCCCGTATCCCCTCTGTGTAATCCCTGTCCTGTCCCGCGCCAACACCTTTGCGGGAGCGGTCTAGAGTCGTCCTTGGCTGGTATTTAACTGATGTCCATCCCTGCCGATAAACGCCCGGTCCTGGCTCGCCACCCTTCGGAGGATCCCCCGCCGTTCTCCTCAAGACCCGTCACTCGCGCGCCCTCATACGTAGGAATCCCGACTATGACTTCTATCGACGCCTCCACGAATGGAAGCACTTCGCGTGCTGCGGTACCTGATATATCCGACCCCCAGGCTTGGACGGAGCGCCTCTCAACTTCGTTCTCCGCCATGGCAAACGAGATCGCTGCGGCCTCACAGGCGCTCGCGGCGTCCCAGCAGCAGCGGAAATATGATGATGCGCCGTCGTCAACGACGTCGCTCGAGGTCGACGTTGCAGCGCTCGGCGCGCGCTTAGAGGCTATCGAGGCGAAGCAGGAAACGCTCAGTCAGGAACTCGAGGGGCTGAAAGAGATTATCGGACAGAAGCCGGAAGAGGGAAGCCCAGAGGCGAGGATGGAGGCACTCGAGAAAAAGCTCAACGAGTTAGCGGACACTGTCAAATTAGAGTACGTGTTTCTCCCTCTTTCTGCGTTGTCCCCGAGCCAGCTTACATGGCGTATGACAGTCAACAGCGGCTGTACGCCCGGCTATGTAACGCCAGCATCCGACATCAGACGGCGACCGTGAAAGCGCCCCCTACTGCGAACGGCAAACCGGCGCCCAATTTCCCCGGTACGAAAGGGGAGTTTGAACATCTCACCAGTACGTTCCTAAACACCTGTCCGTCTCAAGCTGACGACGTACGTGCAAACAGAGGAACGATACGAAGGCTTGATGAAGGCGTTTGGTATCCCTATCAAGGGAGATACAGACGCGAAGAGGGAGGCGGTGAGAGAGTTCTTGGGGCTACCTGGATGGCTCGGCGCGAAAGCAAACAACTGAGTGGGCTTGTATTGGACTATTTGTGTGTCTATCTATCTTATCTCTCTGTCTGCGAGCCATTCTCTCTCTCTCTATGGCGTTTATATTATCCTGCTATCGCTATTATCCGCTGTGGCATGAGGGATATGGAATACCGAAGAAGTAGCAGCAACCCAAACTCGATTCGCTGCAGGGCGTGATGCACCATTCGTTGGGGCCGAGATCACCTGCAGAGTCGAATGCTTACTTGTGGCCTGTTTCTCTATGCTTCGGCAGATGCCCGTCGCGAGGACCCATCGTGAGGGCCACAACAGCTAGCACTCGGTGCTGGGGCTTGTACAACTCCTCTGAAACGATCTTACAAGACCCGTCACCGATAGGCTCAAATAATGAAATGATAGTTATACACATATTACAGGCCTCCTCCGTCGATGCTAGACCCCTTTCCACCAAGAGCCGGTACATCTCGTCCATAGGGTCGATACCCGGATTATCGTTACTCGCGTGGGCGGCATACCACCGAAAATCAATTTCAGACAATTTTCAACTCCATCTCCAAACGAAGTAGATACTCTCGGAAGTTAAAAGCGGCCGCATCCATGGAGCCGATCCAAATTCAACGGGGCAGGTATCGGCTTCTCCGACATCTCACAGCACTCGAATTCTATGTCTGCTCATGGGAGATATCGTGAGCAAGCATCCTACGAACCGTGCATGGGGGGACGCACCGCGAATCGGTAGCACCTCTACCTTGACTATCTCGTGGCACCATGCTAACAATTCTCGCGCCGCATACGCGTCCATTTCTGGATAGAAACGCAATGTAGTTATGGGCAACCCGATGACTTGCCGAGTAGCTACGAAATTGCGGATATAGTCCCCGCCATCCTCGTCTACCTGATCAAAACCTATGTCAAGTGTTACAGTGTCCAAGGATGGGCAGAGTCGTTGTGGCTCCCCGTCTCCCATATGGAGGGCTAGCGCCTCCAACAGCTCCTGGCCGTCCTCCTGAGGAGCGTTTATCCAGAGATGCTGGATGTTTGGGAATTGTACGAGCATTCTGGAAGATAGAGAGTGTCCCAGGCCAATCCTCCCTTCTCCAGCATGGATATGCAGCCGGAACAGCGACTCTGACCCGCACGCCATCGGACTTTTCTCCAGTACTTGCATGAGACCTTCGCAGGCCGGCCGAGACAAGAATAGTAGCTGGAGTGATTCCAACCTTGGAGCAATGAATATCTGGAATAGTTCTGGAATGTTGAAGCCGTCTACACGCGAATAGTTTAATACGCTAAGTTTCAAAGACGTCAACGAAGTAAGGGGTAGCGGGTAGGGATGGAGGGATGGGAAATCAGGGTCACTGTGGAAGATGTTTCCGTCAAGGCCGAGATGTGTCAATGTGGGACACTGCGCAAGGAGGCTGCGGAATACCGTCGGAGTGAGTCGCTCATCATAGTCGGGCTGTATCAACTCCAGGCTGGTTAACCTGCGGAAAAGGTGGAGATTTGGGAAGACCGATAGACCAGACAGCTGCATCTGCGCCAGTGACGGTGCTCCATGTTCAAACAGTTCACCCAGACAATCCAGGCCCTGCCACCAGGCGCAAAAGTGTTGAAGGTGGGGCACATGGACGGAACAGAGTAACTGCTGGAGTCTTTCCGAGTATAGCGATAATTCTGCGACTTGTTCCCAGTTAGACCAGGACGACTCGCCAAGATGAAAGGACTGCCAGCGGTCTGCACATTTTATAAGATCAGTCATGACGAAAAGAAGTCTATCGACTCCCCCGTTGGTTGAGGTCCTTCTAGGGCGGGCCGACCTGAAGCTAAACAATATCTTCAGCAAACAGGGTGCTGACCGCTGGACTTGCAATTGCAGGAGGCCCGGCGACATGTTCGGAGAAGCCTGGATAAAGCGCCATAAGGTAGGCGTGCGGGTCAGAATCTCCCTCCAGCGCTTGTTGACCCACGACAGGATGAACGGCAGCTGCGTCGAGTGAATCGGACGTGGGACAGCATCGGCAAAATTCCATATCTTGACCAAGATCTCTTCCGGGAGAACCTGTACAGGTGAGACGCGCGAGTTGAGCAATTGACGTCGCTCCCTAAGCTCTTTCAAGTCTTTCTCTACCTCTCGGAGCCGCTCTTCGGTGGGTTGTAGACGTTCCGACTGGGCACGAATGGATGCATCCAGGTCAGACAGCGCTGCATTAATGCACTCGCGAAACCTTGCGGTTAGGAGGCTATCTGGGGCAACTCGGGTTTCGACGTGAGCTCTTTCGTCGGTGAGGGCCTCGAGGTCTTTCCGAATATTGTCGTATTCTTGACGCAGTAGACTAGCAAGTGACTGCTTCTCTGGAATTTCAGCTATGACTGCTTCCAGTTCTTGCACATAAACAGGGTTCCTGAGGTTATTCATCCCGCCTTCGACAGGCGAGCCCTCAGCCATCGACTTCGGCTAATACGTGAACCCAATCCGTAGTGACTCTGAGACTCGCTTGATAGAGAACCTGCTGTGACGGTAAAGATACAGTCGTTTGCATAAGAAACTGAACATCACGTTTCTGCGCGCGCTGTTTGTCCGTGCCAAATATGCCCTTTTCGGGTAACTTCAGACGGCCTCTCGCGGGGCTCATTGGCTAGGTAAGGACTTGTAGATGTCTGGAGGGGAATCAAAGGGCTTCGTAAATTGCATGCAATGTATAATATATAGCTGTACTTAGTATAATCAGTCATTCTAGTATGTCTACAGTGTTTTGAGGAACACTCTGCCCTCCGGTAAGCCCTTTGCCGCGCGTTTGCCGATACCCGAAAAGGGCATATTTGGCGCGGACAAACAACGCGCGCGGCAACGTGATGTTCAGTTTCTTATGCAAACGACTGTAAGTTTTTTCACCAGACAGAGTGGTGGCTTTTCAAGGAAGATGAGGCCACTTATCCTGAGGAAATTAAGGCGTTCCTCCCACGGTCCTGCCTTTGCTGCCGGACGACGGAGCCGACCGGTATTTCTCCGGAGCCATTGCCGGACTCTTGGACAAGATCAGCCACATTCACGTTGTGGCGCGCATCAATGCACCGTTGCCTCCAGATACCGGAAATTGTAGGTCAGGTGGATGAGTCGCTTGGGCAAACTGCAATGTCCTCGATAGTGAAGACGAGCTCTGCTCTCGACTATGGAGAGCCTGTGCCTGGTCGGAATGTACTTGCTCGTACGTGTAAAGCATTTCAAGAGCCCGCTTTGAATGCTCTCTGGCGATGACAAAAGTAGCTTGACGAGCCTCATCAATTGTATGCCCGATGATGTATGAGGGGTCAAAAACGGAGAATCGGTGCGTCCCATAAATGTAACTGACTCGGTGGGCTTCCTGTCTATTGGCGGTACTCTTCCGCACCCTACTAAGTAGTAGGTTTGCCTGAGATACCTTCCGTCTCAATAAGACTGATTCCATTAATATGCTTCGAAAGTCCAGTTCATTATGATGAGATCCACCAATTGCGACTGAACCCTAACATCGATACCATCTGGGTGAGGGATGCAGATGGGGCCCGCGTCCGACGAAGTGTAGTCACGGAGTACTTGCGGATGCTGACACGGGCCAGACAAGAGGAGCGTGCGCACTGCCTCGAAGAGCTTGCGAGTGCGTAAATGGAGACGGTAACCGGGAGTGATTGCTGCTTCCTACATAGCTCCGGTTTCTGTATACCTACAAGAAATGTAACTAATGCACTGTCATATCCATACGGACTCCAAAAACTTGGCATGTAGCCATCGTTGGGCAGAACTAGTCATCAATGAAAGGCTAATATAATTCTACCTTCAGTGTATAGCCCCATCAATCCTCAATGCGACAGGCGCCAGAGATATGTCCGACACACTCTTATCCCTGCAGGTGTAAATGTCAATAACAGAGAAAAGCAAAATATCTGTTAATATGGTCTAGATTTGTACATTTTCGCACCCTCCGAAATCATTCCGACGTTACAACACATAACGGAAGTCCCTATTCTGTCTATCCGTCAAATCAAGGAACTCCTAACCACCAGTCAATGCATCAACGCCCGCACAAACACGGCATGAAAGCACAAACGGAAACGCACCTTGTCAACCTTGCGCTCGACGACGTTGCCCTTCCCGTCGACGGTCTCGATGTACACGTCGTCGTACGTCTCGTCGGGCGGCTCGCTGTCGCGGCGCTTGTTCTCCGCGGCGAGCAGGCGGCGGATGATGAGGAGCAGCGCGGGGCAGATCACGTAGCAGATGCCGATGATGATCCAGGGGACGTGGTTACTGTGAGAGGTTAGTGGCAAGACGAGCGAGGGAGACGGGAGGACGTACCGAGGCTTGTAACGCTGTTGCCACATGAACGGACCTAGTACGAGTCAAATCATGATGAGGACAGAAAGGTGGTACGTGCGGACTCACCGGCGGCGTTTCCGACGCAGTACGCCGAGAGCATAATAGCATTTGCTACGAACATCTCGTCAGGACGTCCGACCACGGTAGGGAGGACATAAAGACGCTTACTCGTTACTTTTTTCGTATGCCCCGCAGTCACACTCGAAAGCCACGACAACGAGAGCACAAAGCCAGTTGTCCCGACACCTAGGCACCAGTCCGCGATCAGCTTCGTCATCTTCGAAACTGAAGCTATATCCACATACCTGTCAACCACTGTCCGAACAGCAGCCCGACCTTATCGCTCCAGGGCAGCGTGTTGATCAAAATCACGCCGAGGAGGTTCGGCGCAAAGTACACCGCGCCGACCCACGCGCGAGCGTTCTTCATGCGCGCGGCGAGCGTGACGCCCGTCCAGATCGTCGCGATCTCGATGAAGCCGTCGACGCAGCCGAGGAGCGTGGTTTGCAGGTTGCTGAAGCCGAAAGAGGAGACGATGATCGTGCGCTGGTTCGTGAGCGAGTTGGGCACGTTGTCGAGCGCGGAGAAGAGCGCGAAGAGCCAGGTCTTGGGGTCGGTGAGGGCTTCGATCATTCTGGGTAATGTTGGTGAGCGGGAAGGGGCTGGATGGGAAGGGCGGGGAGACGTACTGCTCTTTCTTGAAGTGCTTGTTTTCGACGCCGGTTTGGTTTTCCTGCGGCACAGTGAGCATTCGCGAGACGGAGTAGGCGGCGAGCGTACCTTGATACGTCGAACCGCCTTTGCGCGTTCGTCCATCGTCAGGAACCACGCGTTCGTGGGAGAGTCGGGGAAGAGGAACCTGTCGTCGCAATGGAGATGACTCAACGCTGGCGTTCAAAATTCAAGCAAACGTACCAGTACGCGACCGCGGTGATGAGTGTCAAGATGCCGGTGATGATCATAAGCCTATGAGATCTCAGCAGCAGTTCGGCGTACGAGGCAGAGGGCGGACTCACCATTGCCACGGCTCAAAGCCTTCCGTCTTGATATGCAGCGTCCCGAAACTGATGAAGCCGGATATGATCTGAGCTGTAGAGCGTCGCTACGTCAGCGCGCGTACGAAACGACCCCCTTTTCGTTGGCGACGTACCCGTTCCGTTCATCAAGACTGCACGAGTACGAATGGTCAATCGAACGTAGATAATATACATCGAGCTGCCACTTACACCAATATCCGACGCGCAGCGTCTGCTCGGTGCGCGTGTAGAACATGGAGCTGACGATCATGAACCCGGCCGTGATTGCGCCCTCGCACGCGCCGAGGATGAACCGCACGGCGAACAGCCCGCCGAAGTTCTTGCAGGCGGCGTGCAGGCAGAGCACGGTGCCCCAGATGAGGATGTTGATGCTGGCAGCGGGCGCGGCGTCGGTCTCGTTGAGAGGCAGAGCAGAGCGGAGACGCACCTCATCCATTTGCCCACGGGGAAGCGCTGCAGGGCAAGGTTCTGCGGGTACTCGAAGGCAAGATAGCTGAGGTAGAATATTGTGCCGAGCCTGGTGACAGCGAGTCAGAGCCGCTCGGTGCAGGAACGTCGTTTGACGTGCCAATTGTATCTGCAATAGCAGTCACGCGGTCGGTCAGCATATGGATCTCATCGTACTTGATGACGAGGAGACGTACTCGTTAGTCGTGAGATGAGTAGCTTCGCTGCATTTCTGACATGTCGGTCTCGGGGAGACGAAACGAGGATGTAAGAACTCACCGGATACCGAGGATGGCGGAGCTACCCAGAGTCGTCTTGTCCATGAATTGGATCCTGATGTCCAGGCGCCTTAGACGTGTTCGCAGTTCGTACAGACGCACGCTTACCAGTAGAGAACTGATAGATCACGGGTTAGTAGTGTAGTGGAGATTTAACCGACCACATGGTGAGACTCACTGCACATCATAGGCATGATATGCCAATCGATCTTCCGCCTATTCGCTCTTAGAGACACCGTAATGTACGTCTAAATCGCACTCACCGAATCCTAATCGACTCTGCCTCGTCCAGGACGATGTCGGCGCCGGCGACGAGCTGCGCACCGGTGTCCACCTCCTTTGTCGTGACGGAGACATTGTGCGGAAGCTTCTCGTCCTGGTAGGCCACCTTGTCGCTGATGGAACGGTCCGACATGGTAGCGGCGGTCAGAGGGCGTCAGGAAAGCCAGCGTCCACGCCGAGCGATGTGCCTGGCTTTTGAACGGAAGGCAGCGGGGCCAACGGCATATTATCGCAGGCACCCGTGATAAGGTTAAACATGGTGTATTGCGCGATTGGAAGCTGATTGGCCTCGAACGGCGGTGGAGGAGATAAGTTGGCGTTCAAGGAAGACGCGTCGCCTGGAAGACTGTTTAGCCGACGAACTTGATAGCGGTTTATCTAATCGAAGATAGCATTGCTGGCGTCTACATGGACCCACAACGCCTATGCAACCGCTTCTCGTCGAACCTGCGTTGTGGTAGCTTCACCCTGTTGTCCGTCGATTGCAAGCGTTTCTCGAGCTTTGTCTCACATCCTCTGCACTCTCAGCCCCACTCTCAGCAGGTGTCATTCGCGGCGCTCTCAATTAGTAAAGTCGATCGATCACGCGATAGGGCGTCTGTCCGTATCCGGCAGCCGTACTTGGCTTCATTTCGGACATCTCTCGTATCTCCTCTTGCTCTCCGATGCCTTCAGGTCCGAGAGCAAACTCGCGGACCAAGTAATCCCTGCCCTCAAGGACTGAGGATCCGAAATGCCACTGCGGGGAACGCGGGAGAGGGGTCGGATAATATCGCAAGTATTCGCTGTCCATAGACAGTCTTACGCACGTCCTCCTCGTCTGCCATAGCCATACCGAACAGCCCGGCGCACGAGAGGTAATTCCGACGGACTTATCGCGACAATGCCGGGTTGGATCAACACGTACGGGGGCCAGCTATGGGTCATGACAGACTCGTACCGCGCCGTTCGGACGATCTCGGATGACGATGCTCTTCTGAATCGTGTACGTTTGGTATGTACTGATGCACTACCTCGCAGCCTCTTGATGTCACAGCTCGCGTACCTATCAAACCGCTCGTACGTCTTCGAAGACTACGTGTGGTCAAAACTCCCCTTTCCGTACACCATCTACGACTTCGCGCTACGACCAACGCGCATGCCCATCAACGCATTCATCTCGGGGCCTAGCGCCGGCGGGCCCATGTCCGGCCCCCAAGCGGTGAGTTCGGAGTTCTGGGACTCCGTCTGTCCAAAGGAGAAGCGGCGGATTATCACCACGGAAGGAGCGCCGCCGAGCAAGGGGACGGACGGCAGCGTGCTGATGGACTGGTGGGTGCAGCGGCTCGCGAAGGTCGAGGATAGCTGCGTCGAGATGGAGCAGGATTCGCTAACAGACCCTATATTCGACAAATAGTAAGTCCGCGCCTGTTTCTCTTGTGTCCTATCCGAGGCTAATTGCTCCAAGCCTCTTCGGCGGGAAGGAAATCCTTTCCCTGTGGCCGGGTCTCTCCGCCTCCCCCATCCTCACCGATTTCATGTGGTCCCCCCTCGTACACTCCGCAATCTTCCGAAACTTCCCCATCCTCCGACCATACTCCGCCAAGGTTCTCTATGACTCTTCCACCACGGGCGTCCTCCCTGGGCTCGTCGCCGTACACCCCCGCCGTGGCGACTTCAAACGGCACTGCGCGCGTCTCGCCGGCTGGAACTCGGAATATATGGGCCTCAACCAGTTCCCGTCGCTGCCGGACAAGTTCGATCCCACGCCGTATATCAACACGACTCGCGAGGACGAGAAGACGGAGTACTACTTCGAGCACTGCCTACCGACGACGGAGCAGATTGTCGAGCGGCTACGTAAGGTGCGGGAGGACCACCCGAGCTTGAGCCGCGTCTACCTCCTCACGAACGGGTGGGGCTGGTGGCTTAGCGGGCTCAAGGACGCGCTGCGCGAGGATGGATGGGCGGACGCGACAAGTTCGCTTGACATTCAGCTCGACGCTGCGCAGAGCTACGTCGGTATGGCCGTTGACATGGCCATTGCTGAAAAGGCGGAGGTGTTCGTAGGGAAATGGGGTGAGTCGGGCATCATCTTCCTTTCGCAACACATGCTGACATTGATGCTATCCCAGTTTTCGAGTCTGTCATCGAACGTGGTCATGTTGCGTATGGCGAAGGGCCTGGAGCCGGCGTCCAATCGGTTCCTGTAGAGTCGTTATGTTTTCTGCATCGCATTGTATCAATAAGTTATGTACGGATCCCGATACCAGCTATAATATCACTATGTACATTCACAAAAGACTGATTGTGTGAGGTGGGTACATGGGACGTCTGCATTTTGGCGGACTCGACAACAGTGCAGAGGTGTCTGTCCACCTAGTGCAGCAGAACAATCGGTGTTGCAGCTGAGGCAAGGGCTGAGGACGGGGAGAGGCAAGGAGACATTCATGGATAACCAGTGGTTGGGGGAAGCAAGCGTGGCTGGAAAGGAAATGAATAGATTGCAGAAGCATGTCCCTATTGAAACACCCAGGTTCCGATGCTCTCCGAGGACAGCATGAGGATGTAGCAGTGGGAGGGGAATAAAGACATGAAAAAGCAATAGAAATTGAACCACTCACCTGGGGCACAAAACACTTGTACCA